AAGCCTCCTCTCCCTTTCTGCCCGGTCATTGATCTCCAACTTGGCAGAATCAAGGAGGATGGTGAGTTGGGAGACCTGGTCTTTTGGCTCCAGCAGACTTTGGCCAATCTCTTCTGAAATGACCCCGGCCTATAAATTCAAAAAAGAGATACATCAATAAATGCAAAGGAAATATTCTAACCGGGAGGAAAACCAAAGATGAAGTACCTTGCTGAGTTTTTTGGCCAGGGATAGGAAGGCTTCTTCGATGGACTCCCCCTCCGTATCTGATAACCTGACCTTCTTCTTCTTGTCTCCCTTGGAGCTCTTTTGGGACCCTTTCCTTTTATGGCCCTTAGCACGGGAAGAAGAATGGCTGGCCTCCTTGGACTTGGATTCAACCCGGTCGCCTTCGGAGAAATGGAGGGCTGAGGGTGACTTCACCTGCTTATCTCGAATGAGATCATCAAATAAAGAGCACCGAGCAGTTGAGGCCCCTTCAACTCCAAGGTTTTGAGGAGGGGAGGGAGAGTTGCGATTAGGAGACCGGTGGGAGTGGAGGACTTGGACATCATCGTCGTCATCCTCGATGATGGTGGTCATCCTGTTAAAGTTCATGTCTGAAAAAGAACAAAGCAAAAGATGACCGGTTATTTTTCGAGGAGTACATAAAATAAAGAAAATGAAATTAAGAAGCTTAAGAGAGGATGATCGGCCTGGACGAGGAGAATTGGCCTCAGCATGACCATCCGGGGAGTTTGCCCGGTCATCTTCTGCGTCATGGGTCGCAGATTCACCCCCATCCGGATTAGATAGCCGGAATACCCAGCCTCCATAGGCATAAGGTTTCCCGGTCACAGGATCACCCTTGAGAAGTTTCTCGCAGGCGTCCTCAAGATCTTTGGTGGGTTCCGGATGAACCCTTTCAGGTTTTATAACCCTGTCAGCCCACTCAGGGTTAGAGAAAGGAAATTGGTCAGGGGGGAATTCAACAAAAACAAATCTCTTCTTCCATCTTTTGTGGCTAGGGGGAAGACCGGTCACAAAACTCCTCTTATTACGTGAATGAAAATAAACAAAGCCCGGGCAATTACTAGTCCCGGGCAAGACTTCTTACATGTGGAGGAAAAGATGAAGGGAAGGGTCGATTTTCAAATGTTCACAGATATTTACGAAACAATTCAAGAACCGGTGAGCATTTGGAGTAAGCTGGCCGGGCAAAATCTTGAACTTGTTACAGATTTCAATAAGGAGGGGGCGGAGAGGAAAAATAATACCTCCCTCCAGAGATGCAATATGGAAACCCAACCGGGTTCCCTGGTGGGG